TTAGTTTTTTTTTTAGTCTATTGGATTGGGTCGGATTGACCCAACTCAAAAACACAACCCATTACTCAAAATAAACAAAAACAGATCAAACATGAAAAACGGAAACTTGCAATTATGGTTCATCACTCCTAAAAAAAAGAACACATTTGTCATAAAAAAAAAAATCACATTCGCCAACCGCAAAGAAAGAGCAAATTCATCAAACACAACAACTTAGTTAAACTTCAATTCTCATTCATTTTCAAATAAACATATACAAACTTAACATCCTAAAAAAAAAGCGTAATCACCAACAGAAACAGAAAATAACCAAGCACGGCGGATTCTTTTAGAGGAAAACAGATTTGGGTCTGATGGAAGGGCGGGATCAAGCTTCCATCATTTCCTTCACCATTTCCCCTAAAAGAAATCCTTTGTTTCAGAAATGTACCTAAAGCAAAAACCCAGAAATATGATCTCTTCTTCAATAAGCTCTGATAGTTCAGCGATCTTCCTCTTCTTACTGCCGCTTCCAGTAATACCCCAATCTCAGACAAAAGAACCTTTTCTTCTCCCAAATCATCACTCTCGAACCAGCCATTCAACACCAGCGACGGAGGCGGAGCTCTCGACAACCAACCTCCCCAAAGAAAACCAGCCGTCCCCTCTTCGAAATCTCCCTCTAGTGCTCTCAAGAACCAGACAGAGACTCCCAATACCAGACCCGAAAATCAACCAAAAAAAATAAAAAAGAGTACCCCCCATTTAAACACCGGTTCCTTCCTATTTATACCCAATCAAACAAAACCCTAAACTCCCCTCTTTTCTCCTCATCCAAACCCTTCAATTTTTATTCTTTTTCCTTTCTACCGTTGATCGGATGAGGCCAAAATTGACCCCACAGAACAGCCAAGAAAGCTGGTGCGCTGTTCTTCTGCAGGTGAAGCAAGGATAGGGCCCTTTTTTTTTTTATTTGAAGTGTGGGCCATTTTGCTGAAGAACAGGACAAGGCGCAGAGCAGATTGCAGAACAGGGGCGCAGCAGCATGCAGGCTCGGTGCAGGTTGAGTTCCATCTGCTTTTGATGGTGACCAACTTATCTTTGGGGTAATAATTCTACAAGATTGGATTGAAGAAGAGGTGAGCAATCAATGGAAAGCTCTCAATGTGCATTGCCAATCAACAATAAGAGCTTTGCTTGATCCAATTATTGAGAAGATGAAGAATCCATCAAAGGTCCTCCAGATGCATCTTGATGACGAAGCAACAAAGGATCTGTCAAAGGCTAAGCTAATTGGTAAACTTGCCTTGTTCTTCACCACATTTCTTCTACTTGATATAGAGTTCAATTCAAAATATGATAAAAGAGGTGTCAAAATGCAGTTATTGTCATTTATCGGCCTTGACCTGCTAGTATTTTTAAAGCTCTAGAGTCATATCAGAATTCTCTGTCACAATTCCCTGAGGAGCCTTACACTTTATTTGGATTGAGGAAGTTGGAGGTAAAGGAAAGGAGAGTGAGGGGGTGAAAACCCCTCTTCTTGTTTGGAAAAAAAATTTTAATGGAGGGGAGGAAGAGGAAGGGAGATGGAGCCCCCTCCCCTCTTCCATTTTCAATCCCTCCAATTTGGAGGGATTCCATTATTTAATTTATTTTT